AACAGCCTCGTTACTACACAGGTGTGCCTTGGGATGGTCACAATAAATGGCCACTTTAAAATTTGCAGTTTTAACACAACACATTGCCACAGATGTTGCTAGTTTTGAGAGAATGTGTGACATTGGCGTGGTGACTACAGGAAAGTCCACCAGAGCTGTTGCCTGTGAACTGAATGTTCATTTTACTACCATAAATACATCTCAGATGTAATTTTTGGAATTTGGCAGTACATCCAACCAGCCACACAGCCAACAGAGCATGTGTAACCAAGTTAGCCCAGGACCGCCACATCCAATGTCTTCACCTGCAACATCATCTGAGACCAGCCACCCAACTGCTGATGCAACAGTTGGTTTGCACAACAACAACAAGACTTTTTGTGCAGACTCTTAAAAATTGTCTCAGTAAAGCTCATGTGCATGCTCGTCATCCTCAGCAGGGTCTTGACATTACTGCAGTCCGTCATCTGTACTGACTTAATCGGGCAGATGCTCACCTCCAATAAGGTTTGGATCTTTGAAGAAGGGTTCTCGTCACGGATGAATCCATGGTGACCCAAAAATGTATTCCTGTAGCTCTAGTCAATGTAAAATCCATAGATCAATAATACTAGTCCATACCCATTGGTAGCTTTGTCACCTTCTACCTATGCCAATCCTCAGTGCCTATGTGCAGTTTCACATAGATTGTCACACTGGTCCACAGGGGGAGCCACAGTGATCGGTCGCATTTTAGCCATTTTTAAGCATTTTTCTGTTGTTATAGCGCCACCCAGTTGCCAATTAGAGTTAAATTTCTCCAGTCACCTTGAGGCGTCCTGTTCTACATATCTACCAAGTTTAGTACAAATCCATATGGCGGTTAGGTCTAGATAAGAAATGAGCTCTCTAGCGCCCCCATTTTGTTTGATGGGGTCAATAATGGAGGGGTCCCCTCAGATTATGTGTGGTCATATGCCTACAAAGTTGCGTGGTGATGGGTGAAACCCTTGAGATGTTATACACCTTTATGTGATGAGCCACGCCCTCCGCAATATTCATTGCCTTATAGAAGCTCAGTTTTAGTAAGTTTTCCAACTTTTGCCAAGAGGGAACTTTAGATATTGGTCCCTAGATTATGTTCACCCAGTTTCATGCAGATCGCTCAAACTTCCTAGGAAGAGATCCATTTGAAGTGTTTTTCAAAAAATTCAAAATGGCGGAAAATCTATATAAGCGGAAGTTATGGGTTCTTGAGGCAAATGTGTTCCTCATGAGGAGAGGCATCTCTGTGCAAAGTTTCATGTCTCTACGACATACGGGGCATGAGATATGCCCATTCAAAGTTTGACATTTCAATGGGTTGCTATAGCGCCCCCCTTTGGCCAATTGATGTAATATTGCTTCATTGGCATCCTCCCATGACCCTCTACCACTGTGCCAAATTTCACATGGATTGACCAAGTCAGTGAGGGGAAAAATGTGGAACAGACACACACAGAGTTTTTGTCATTATATAGTAACATACAATGACTATATCATGAACATCGTTTTTTAAGCCACCAACATGAGACTGGCCTCTGTGTTTCGGTTCTTTCGCTCTCTCTCCAGTGGATTTCTCCTTTTTGCAGGCACACACACACGAAGAAAGACTCACAAACATGATAGGTCACACACACCCCTCTGCCCATCCAGATCACTCTGTCATGAGCGATGATGTGAGCAGACGAGGTGTGTTATAGCGTGTATCGCAATATAGCCTAAAAATATTGCAACATTTAAGCCATATTGCCCATTCCTAAGTCAGATATTCCCATTGAACAGCCAAATTCAATTCAATGTACGTAATTCGGAGTTGGTACAAACCCACTGCTACTACAGCTGTGTTTTAAATACATCAACTAAAAAATCTCAGACAGAGAAGGATCTGAAAATTTTCTGAACACTTCATAGAATACAATTTTCTACTTGTGTGTGTGCACTTTGTGTTTTTACGGCGGTGCCCCGACTGACGCTCACAAATGACCCAAACTCAGCCGCTAGGATCCCCCGGCTACAACAGTTCTTTGTCACTGGCCCCTGAGCAGCTCAACTGGGCCTTGTTAAAAGAAGTTTAACAAGGTCATAGTGTTTTTTACCTTCTAACCTTAGATTGTCCCACCTAATCTCTGGATTCAACCCAGAAAATATCTGTTCACAAGCCTTTCCCTTCATCCCAAGGCTATCGTTAGCTGTTGTTTTCCCTTTACTTCACACAGCAAAGCCTGACTTTTGTGTTAATTTGAGTGTATGTGTTATGTGTTGAGGGATTTGTATCTGAAATTAAACTTGCAGGGGGATAAACATGAGAGAAAAAAACAGAATCTGACCTGGTTAAGTATTATCTGGAGTACTTGGTGCAGTGTAAACAGTCAGTGACTTCCAGTTGAACTGCAATGATTTTAATGCCGAGAAGGTTGTGGGAAACCGGTGCCAACACAGTATCCCTGCAGGCCCCTCTGGCCTGGTGCTCTGCTGTCTGTCTGGGTCGGTGCCCACGTCTACCATCTGCTAACCCTGCCTCATTAAAACAAAGCCCAACCCTGGCCTCCATGAACCTCAGCCTGCGCCGCTAACGCTGCTGCTAAGATTTGTTTTCTCCTGTTGTGTTATATTACACTCAGATCTGCTCTTCTGTCTTCTATTATTTATTCCTGACCCAATTTCTCTTTTTTTGTTTTATTGTGTCCCATACTTTTGCATCCTGTTATGTTCTGTTCTTTCCTGTTTTGTCCTGTTATTCCCTGTCCTGGTGTGTGTGCGTACTGCTCCTGACCTCTGTGGTCCTATCCCTGTATGTCTGGTCTCATCTGCCCTGTCCTGCTATGGCTCGTGATTGGCCTTTAGAGGGATAGTCCAGATCTTTTGAAGTCGGGTTGTATGAGGTACTTATCCAAAGTCAGTGTATTACTATTCTTGCATTACAAGACCTATCTCCACACTCCTGTGTCAATGCTAAAGAAAGGTCTTGGGTGACCAATTATCTTTTGGTTATCAGGGAAAAAACGCTTAGGCTTGTTTTTGTTTCTTTAAACTAATCACAGTCATCTTGGGCGACACTACGCCCAGGATAACGCAATGGTTCTCCTGTAAAAGTTGCATCGGGGTGAACTTGTTTTGGTGGAACATTTGCATGTGGGGAGGTGAAATGGACCTGCAAAAGGGTGGAATGGATCGGTACATAAGTGAAGTCAGCGTCACCGCCGCATGCTGCTGCCAGAGTTAAAAGACGTTGCAAATCAGCTTTGACCGGCTGTGTCAGAAAATGGATCAAGATTGGGCATGAGAGTTTGGACTTGTCTGAGGTGCGTTCACTAGTTGTATTTGTTGCAGATCTTTACAACAATTCACCGGCAGAACAAAGCAGACGTGCCTTACTGCACGATCTCACTCTGTATCAAAACTTTTGCAGTGTGTAAGTTGTTAGCTTGGAGGTTGTTGCTGTTCCCTGTAGTGAAGGGGGTTTGGAAGCGGTACGTGCAGAAAGTGGAAGGAAGGGAGAATCCTGGCCAAAATCAGTGGCCCATTGGCAGCTCTACATGGCTCATAGCCACAGTCTATATCCAGTGAGTTGAACAAGTGTATTTCATTTAGAAGATGGTGGTTAGCACAGCCCTTGCAGAAGCAGGCACAAGTACTGACACAGAAAATAAATAATGTACTGCTGTGGAGGGGTCAGCCACAAAATGTATTTGAGCCACCTAAACAAATCGATTTTATTTTTATTTGGCATTTCTGCTTTACTTGACAGAGGATAGAAAGAGAGACAACAAAGGGCAGTGGACAGGGAGGAGACTTTAACCCTCACTCCTGCTGTATGGCCTTAGTCTTAGAAGTACTCAATTCAGTTAACTGGCACTACTGAGGCACCCCTGAAAAATCTGTCAGTTTCAGAATATGCTATATTTTAATATTTATAGGGATTTTTATATTTTATATTTATAGGGATTTCCAACAGGAAACTGAAGCCATTACATCGCTCCCTTTAAAGCCAGACCCCATTGAGAAAAACAGTAATTTAACATCACTGAAGAAGGGAGCTGCTGGTCTACCACTGCCTCAGTTAGTTGGTTTTGTCTGTTATTGTGTGACTTTGGCACTTTAAAAAGTTAATTTGAATTCATCAAAGTCACACAGTAACATAGACAAACAAACTGATAAAGGCAGCTGCACACCAGCAGCTCCTGTGTTCAGCTAGCTGAAATTGACGCTTTTTCTCAATGGAGTCTGGTGGCTTTGATGAGAGCATAGATGGGGGACTGAAGTTGTTATTGGCTTCCCCAATGAAAGGGCTTTCTGTGGCAAGGTAAAGCGGTGGAAATATTCTCAATATATGCACACTTAAAAGGCAAACTGTTACTGATTCCCGTCCCTCATGAAGAGTGACGAACACAAAATTGCCCATTGTCTTTGGTTTTGATTATTGTAAAATTGGTCTTAAATTTTGTTCAGAGTAGCATTAAAAAATCTTAGGTCCAACTTGCCTTAAGCTGTTCTCCTCTTTCTTGTCATATTTTGTTTACTGTTGTGTCATGTGCATAACTATTTTCTGTCCTGTGGTATCATGTCATTCCCTCAGGCTGTAGCGCTCTGCTTTACTGGAAGTTTTTGTTTCCCAGTCGAATCACCTTGTGAAACTTTCTGCATAACCCCCTCCTCACTCTGCTCACCCCCTGTGGGATCAGACACGTCACACACAGATTCAAGGGAAGGCGATGACTTAATAAGTCAACTTAATCTTTGCCTGAGGTGACGAAATTAGATCCATCATTTGGATTAAATTTAACTCACTGGTTTTACTGTCGGTAGCATAAGATGACGTACTGCCTGCAGTAATTACAATCTGATAAAAGCTACAGAGTTATCAGAATATTTAATGTCTTAAGGAGTGTTGGAGGGGAGGATAGTCAACTCCATACCTGTCTTTAATATGTCTGTTTTATTAAATGAAACTTTATTGTGCTGAAATTGTCTTTCTGCAGGTCCTGACCCCGGAGGAGCTGACCAAAGCCCAGAGGTCCGTCGCTTTTGGCTGCATTAAATACGCCGACCTCTCCCACAACCGCATCAACGACTACGTCTTCTCGTTTGACAAGATGCTGGATGACCGGGGCAACACGGCAGCGTACCTCCTCTACGCCTTCACCCGCATCAGGTATGAGTTAAATATTCAACTTGTGAAACATTGATAAGTTCACATATGGTGATGCAGAAGAAAAGATGACTCTGGGTGTCTGGTAAGTGAGCTCGACTGCTCACTTTGGGAAAGTATCCTAGGAAGTTAAATTAAGTTCCTCCAACACGTTTCTCTCTCGCCTGTGTCCTCCTCTCCACTTTGCCCTGTTAGAGAACCTCCTACCAGTACCAGTATACTTTCATTACTCATATCTGATCAGCCTTTCTGGCCCTTGTGGGAGCTTGTGGCAAGGGATTAGTCTTTGGGGTCTTTCCAGTCAGCAAGACCCAATTTCTCCTCGCCCCTTATCCCCTGTATCGAGTGACCGTCTCCTGGCTGCAGAGTGCTGTGTTGATCCCCTTCCTCCCTAGCTTCCCTGGAGGTGTTAGTCTTGGGGTGGCACAGTGCCCGGCTAAGATTGATCTTCTCTTTTTTCAGCGTGGGGGGGGGGAGAGGCTGGGCAGTCTCGCCTGAGAGGATTCGATGTTCCTGCAGTCAGTCAATAGAGCACTCATTGGTGGCAGCTGCCCCCCACTGTGGGCGTTCAAGTGTCAGAGAAGACAGAAACACAGACGGACTTCAGCAGGGCTGTTCAGCTTGGAGCGTCTTAATAGAAAAAATGAAGAACAGAATGGCTGCCACTTGTAGCCACATGCTCAAATATAATTACACAATTAAGAAAACGTCTTAGTGTGAAGTATGGCGCTGGAGCCAGGAGACTATTAGGGTAGCGTAACTGTACTGTAATTTGTACAGAAACTGAAGTGTAAAAAAGACAGTTTGTGGTTTTATGGGGAGAAGCATGTTGGCTGCGTTTGGTGACCAGCGGCCAGACTCTGTGAATATGTCTTGTCTTGTTGCTAACTCCCTGTCACTTGCTGTAATTGTTCCTTTTAATGTTGATTAACCAAAGTATTTATGGAGATGCACAATGCAGCAGAGGAGAAAGTAGTGCATGTCCTATGAAGTCCTACTGACACTGGTAGGATCTGTACTTAGTACTGCAGCGTTTCCCTCAGAAATATATTCTAGGTGTGACGATACTTGATGGGAGGAGCAGGAGGGGTTGTGGGTCCGTGAACGCAGTGCAGTTTTACTTTTTTCCTCAGCAGCAGTTCGAGCTTGAGTCACAGGATGAAGACTTAAGGAACAAATTGTTTGATCATCTCACTCAAGACATCATTTCTGATCAGTTTGTGGTCGGATCGATCAGAGCTGATTGGATCCGATCGATGGATTAGAGGAGCAGCTGCTGCAAGTGAAAGCAAACTGTAACCCGCTGTTCCTGCTTCATTAATAATAATAGTGCCATAGAGATTCATAACCATGGGACCACTTGTTGAAATGTAGTCTATAAGCTCTTTAAACTTACTGGAATGTAATATGTGACATCTCTACTAACAGTGTTATTAATTTCCTGTAGGTCCATCGCTCGTCTGGCCAACATCGATGAGGCTACACTGAGGAAAGCAGCAGAGACCACCGAGATCCTCCTGGACCACGAGAAGGAGTGGAAGCTGGGGAAATGCATCCTCCGCTTCCCAGAGATCCTGCAGAAGATCCAGGACGACCTGCTGCTCCACACGCTCTGCGACTACCTGTACGAGCTCGCCACCACCTTCACAGAGTTCTACGACAGCTGCTACTGCGTGGAGAAGGACAGACAGACAGGTACGCTGGGGTGAAGATAAGATATGTTAGGAAACACTAGGTGGGTCAGAGGTCAGGGTCAGCCTCTAACAGCTCAGAGGAGCTGGAAGAGATTGAGTGTCTTGTTTAAGGGCACTTAGATTACTTCACCAGTTTAACATTACGCTCTAGTAACATTGTCGGACTTCGGGTGGTTGTTGAAAAAGGATCAAATTTAATGCAGCAGAACCAGAGATATTGTTCCTTTTATTCCACTTATTAATCGTCCTTGTCAAAACCTGGCATCCACAATATCCACAATGCAAGTCGACCGCCAATAGTTAGGTCTGAGATTCGGGTGCGGTATGCTAGTAAGCGGCTAATGTAACCTGGAGCCTGCAGCAGAGATGAGCAGTGCAGTACTACATGCAGTAGTACGCCACAACGCATGTAAAAAGACGACAGTGTGTAAAATGGCCACTCTTCCCCTTCGAGCCCTGTGCATGTGTGCAAATGCTTTGATCAGGTTATACTGTAGCTTGCCTGTTTTTTCACTGGGATCAATAACTGTAATGTAATTAAAGCTGCAAGCAGCATTGGGCGGGACCTTGGACTCACGCCGTTCCAGCCTCCAGCTCATGTAGACAGTTATAGACAAAAGTTTTAGACGATTTTAGACCCCTCTCCACTCTAGCTCACAGCTGACAATTTCTCCACATTTGCTCATGTTACTTTCAGAGGCACTACCTCACTTCCTGTAGGATTTAGGTCAGGGGTGTCAGTGCATGATTTGTAGGTCTTGATGAGACGAACAAGCCAGTTTTGGTTTGATATTTCTACGACATTCCTACGGGCCGCAGTGGCCATTTTAGTGTGTCTAGGTGGCGCTAGAGAGCCCATTTTGGCACTTTTGGGGTTAATTTTTTCATTTTATCAAATTTGTCACCAGTCCTGACATGCATGCCAGTTTTGGTGATTTTTGAGCATGTTTAGGGGGGCAAATTTTGTTTTTTTGCGCACCAATGGGGCCCCATGTCTTGCAGTAGGTGCCCTTTTTTCCTTTTTGCCCCTGCCCTTCAAAAATCCCGAGTCCGTCACTGAGAGTGAGAGACAAGTTGGAGAGCAGGCAGATGGAGATGGTTTTACAATGTCTCGAACTCCTCCCTTTTATTCCCAAACCGTGGGTTCAGTCGTCTTCGGCAGAGGTCCCTAATTACTTGTAGAATGTAATCCCTTACTGCTAAAAACAGTCACATTACGCTATCACTGACAATGACACAGTCACTCAAGGTCAAAAGTGCAAAAAGAAAACAAAGGAGCAGAGGTTCCTCAGAGTTCTGCTCGCAATGGGAGTCGGCCAATTAATAGGAGGTTTCATTCGGAGAGGGTTTCCACTAAAAGCCATCTGAACACTGTTGGCCCTCCACTTGTTCCTGTTAGCATTTTATCCCTGCGGTGTGCTGAAGTGCACTTCAGGCTTAGAGCTGCTTAATTATGCTAATTCTCAGTTAGCTCTGTGGCAGTAACCTCAGCTGGAGGTTATTATTTTATATCATTTGTCTTTGTTATAAAATATACAGTTCAGTCTGATGGAGAGCGTGTCTGTGTGAACGGAGACTAAGATCATCAGACAGTCATCACTGAAGTCAGCTGAATTTGTTGGATTGACATACTGTTCGTGTTTTTATCTTTTAAAGGGTAAAAAAAGAACAAAAACATCCAACAGAGTGGCAAAGGCCAACGTTAGCACACAATTAACAACATGGCAAAATAAACCAGAGAGGCTCAACTGTAGTTTGATCTTTCTCACTCCGGTTGATGTGTCTTTGCCGGGCAGATATGTACTTTATGTCCACATATGTTCAGCCACATATGGTTTGTGCTAATTTCACTTGAAATATACTTGGAAATGTGCACAGCTGAAGCACAATACCACGTGATAAAGACCTTCAGGGGGATCCTGTCACGTTTCCTGATCCTGAGGCCGTGTCTTGTCTTGTGCTCACAAGTTATTAGCTTTCATGCACAAGATGGATCTAGAGAGCGCTCGAGATAACAACTTTTGAGCAGGAGACAGTAGGTGATCATTAGATTTAGGGAGAGACTGACCTGGTTTGTTTCAGTATACAAAACAGTGTTGACTCCCTAACGTCACCTTTAAAGCAGTCCTTCACTCTGAATATGTGTCCAGTCCTTGGTTGTTTATATTCCTTTAGTCCTTAAAAGTCCACCGATTAAAAGATTTAAAAGTGTTTTTCATAAAAAGTTATCAAAGTTGTTGTCATGTGAAGTCCATTGATAACTATGTTTGGTAATTGGGTTCGTCAAATGACCAAAATGTGTCCGTTTCTCCTCCTCATTCCCCGTCAAATTTGCCTACCGGCAGAAGATATAAATCTAATCTTTTTGGACTTCCAGGTGTCCGTAGATTAGTTTGATCAAATTCTTTTGCAGCAAGCCTGCGGCCAGTTAGTTCTCCAACAGAGGCTGTAAACAGCGAGGAAAATCATATTGTCCTTAGTGATATTTCAACAGCCAGAAGAGTTAGCATTCTGCAGTGTGGAGAATTATTTGACAGCGTATACACGAGGGGCATCAAATACAGACAGTATGTTGATAAAGTGATATTTATTTCCAGTTAACCTCACAAATCTGTGATGGTACACTTGGTACGCTTTTATCAGGTAATCCAGCAGTGGTCATGAAATCAGCTGAATCTATTTTTGTTCTTTGATGGATAATTCAGCTGAGATATTCTGAATTCATCAGTGCTGTAAACTGCATTTTTCCTGAGTTAATGGGTTGTTTTGATTGGCTGATGAGCCGATTAAATACGCACCATCAAAATGTGCTTTAAAAAATTAATTACTTCCAAAACATTGAAGTGAGAGCCGCATTTTTTTATTTTACTTTAAGTGGTTCTTGGTGACATAAACGTCCTCTAGAGTGCCTGTCAGAGCCAGTTTTAGTGTTACAAAATGTTGTGTGATTTACTCTTAGGACAAGACCTTAGTCCTGCCTGACGAACTGGACCACTAGGAGCTACTTTACACCTTAGGATGGTGTGTGAATACAGCCCCTGATGAAATGAATTAATATGTTAAAAAGATAAAATATTCTGACTTTGAGACATCAATTAAAAACTAATATTTTCTTCCAAAATGCAAGAACACATTTTTAATAGAAACGTTTGTTTGTCCTCTTTTATCTTTTCAAAACTTCACTTCAACATCAGCAGCACTCTGTCCGCCTCCGACATACTCTGATGCGTCTGCTTGTTTGTGAAAATTACAAACTAATTTTGCTGTCTGTCAATGATCATCGATGTTTGCGCCCCTTTAACGACCTGTCTGTTTAATTCACTCTCTGCTGCTCATTACGGACATAATTTCTATTGGATTTCTGCTCTGTGTAGCAATTTGGCCTGATGGGCTGGACGGTCATGGATGTTGCGTGTGGATGCAGATGTCCAGGTCATTGATTTTCATTCGATGCGGCGGTGTCGGCCGCCGCCGTGTTGGTGGTAGCATCATTAAATGTGTCCTCTGACCTTTTGTTGTTTGTTGTTACCGTTCAGTGCTTCACCTCTGACTGTTTCTCTCACCTCTTCAATCTGCCCGACTTCTCAACATGTGTTAATATTCTCACTTCCTCTCTTTTTATCCCCTTCACCTCATCTCTTGAGTCTTTCTTTGCCCTTTTGAACTCACCGATTGAATCCATTATCTATTATATATGTTATTTGACTACAGTATCACTCTCATAATCTTCCTGACGTACACGAGGTGTCGCAAATGGAAATGATCGTCAGTTTTATCCCCTGTAGTGTCATAATGAAAGACAGACAGATAAATCTGAGTGGTCGTGAGATGAGTTACAGAGCAGGAGAGAAAAAAAAATCTGCTAAAAAAAAAAAAAGTAATTTCACAGCCTTTTCTCCAGTCATAGCTTTTTTGTGAAATAATTGAGCCTCAGATAGATATTGAAACATCTCATGGATGGTTCTAACATGTTTGACACTGATGGGTTGCAAGGGGTTAAAACCACTGATTTAATCTTAACATGTTTTATATTCATATATTTATTTTATGCAAAATCTTAATCCATAAAGTAAGCAGTAGCTCTGTAGATCTGTCAGAGAACCACCATAATATTCACCTGTGAAATCTCTGTCTCTCTCTCCAGGTGAGGTGGTAAAGGTCAACATGTGGAGGATGCTGCTCTGCGAAGCCACGGCCGCCATCATGGCCAAGTGCTTTGACATCCTGGGCATCAACCCCGTCGGCAAGATGTGATGTCACAGTGATCCACCCTGCCTCTGCCTTGTTTTTTCTCCCTTGTGCATCCAAGTTCACCCGAGTCCAGACCAGGAACAGGTGAAGTGACAACATGTCAGTAAACAGTAAAGATAAAAATCGTGAGTCCCTTTCACTCACGTCGAAGCCAAAACTCACTGGACTTTAAGAATATATTTCCACAAAGGTATTATATCCATCCTGGGAGGAAACATACTAATGGAAAGTCCATTAATGAACATCTCATGTAAAGGATCTTTTTTATTAAAGAACCAATATGAAACCAAAATACTACACAGTCTGCTGTCAATTATTTTTAAGTTGTGGAGACCTCAGTCTAAAGCCAGGATACATATTTTACTATTGTGATGGCTGAAATTTGATCCATAAACAAAAAGATGTCAGTTAGGAATATCAAAATAAAAACAGTGAATCACTTCCTCCTGAGCGAGACTACATCACTCTCACTGCTGACATATGATCCAATAATGGTCGCACCAAAAAATAATACGACCTTGTGGTTTATTCAGAAATGTTTTCACCTGTCAGAGAGCTGCTCTTCTTCTTCTCAGGAGTGACAGAATCATCACTGCCTGAAGGGCTAGGAATTATAAATGTTGTGCACTCTCCTTTAGAGGGTACAAGAGTGGAGATGTTAGGAGGCTGTGTGGAATGGATGAATCAGTAAAAACGTAACGGAATCTGTGTCCCATGGTGTGTCATTATCATCACCACAGGAGAAAAACTTCAACTTTAGTTGTTCATACAGTGCCTTTCGTGCAAAATTACAAAGACAATACTACAGTACAAGAAAAATATAGCAATACAATGGATAAAAGGAAACATAAGGAAACTAGAAAAGCACTCAGAGAGTGCAGACCTCCGCCAAGTAGGTGATATTCCCTCCCCGTCTGCTTCAGATTTTGCAGCCTGCATCACTATTAGGTTATTTGCATCACTATCATTATTAGGTTATATATGCCTTCACCATGGAGACACTGTGGTGTATTTATTTCACTTTTATTTTGGACCAACACAGAATATAATATGTTTTTTGTGTTTTTCACTTTCTTTTTTCCAACACAGAACATTAATTTCAACTTTAGAATTACAACAATATTTAGCAAGTAGAACCAGACGTGCTTTCCGGCCACCAGATGGCGCTATTTTCACTGTCCCAATTGCTGCTGAGGCATTTTATCATCTGTTCCTTGTCCCATGTCTCCCCTTGTCTCAAAATCTGTTCATAACTTTTTGAGTTATTTTGCAGACAAACAAACAAACAGACAAACAAACTAACAACAAACAAAAAATAAAATAAATTGGTGTATTAAGACAGATGGAGAATGTGAGGTGCATGTATTGCTGCTCTTTATGTCCACAGCCTCCAGCTAACCCTTATTTTCAATAGTAATCATTTTCTGTAATAATCAGTTAACCATTTAGTCTATTAAAAGTAGGAATATACTGAAATTTCCCATTACACTTTCCTAAAGAGGATACCATCATTTGTCTTCGTCTAAAACTTGAAAATATTCAGTTTATCAACAGACAAATAAAAGCTAAACTGTAAAGTGTTGGCATTTTGCTTGAAAAATTACTCAAACAATTAATCGATTATTAAAATAGCTGGTTAATCAAGCAATCGTTTTAGTACTGTTGATGTAAATTGATAGCTTGGATTTGTTGGTGATTTAATTGGATCCTAATTTACTCTCTCAAAATGAAGATATGCTTTTGAAAGTCTCAGCAAGGTGCATCACCTGCAGCAGCTCTTAGTGACTCAGGAGTCTTCCTCTAACTTCTGTCAGACGTAGGCTTCATCCACGCTAATATGTTCTTGTTTTAAAAAGCAAAAGCTATTGTAACATTTATGTCTAGCATCCACACTTGTTGAGACAATGACACCCGACTTTGTGTCCCAATTCTTTGTTTTTTTTAGTCACAACAAGTCGAGCCAGATCGTTATATCTAGGCCTATATACATTTTGTGATTTTAATCTTGTGTGGGTACTCCTTTCTCATCGGTAGGCGTGGGATGAGCGGCGCCTTAATGAACTTTTCCAATGTTATTCGTTTTTGCTGGTGTGGAAGTCAGAGAAATATCGCAATGTAGCAAAGGAAGACATGTTGCAGGGTTGTAAAAGAAGTGACTGAAACATTTGCACTTTTTGCGCTCTGTCTGTGCAGCCCTGCAACATGTAAAATTTTTGAAATCCAGACTTCAGCTTGAATCTTTTTTTTTTGTTCTGTGTGTGAGTCTTTCTTTCCTACATCACTCCCTTCTCATTGCCATGGCTTCCTCTGGTAATTGATAATGCTCCCAGTTACACTCAAATGTGTTGCTGTATTTGCTTTGTACAACTCTTAATCTGTTTTTTTGTTGCCTTGATTACCTTATACTTTCAGTAACAGTTCCACCTCTTCTTCAGTCTAAGCAAAGAGATCTCTGGTCTCACTGTAACTAAGCAACCAACTGCATAGTAATCTGCTTTCTGTTTACACCAGCATGCGTGTGCAGTGTATGTGAACACTCATGTAATATGAGTTTTCAGGCGTGTTTGTAGGGCCAGAGATTATTTCTTGTGCAAATGGAGTTTCTCCCAACCTGGCCAGTTAGAAGTTACTTTGTCCTGAGTAGTTTTTACAAATTGATTTATGCATCTTGTATTCTGGCGGGTTCTTTTTAAATCATGTCCAAACCTTTGGGCCTGCGAATGAATGAAAGCAACACACACTGCGCCAGGGTTCACCGGGATCGTCTCAGTTTCTACAAACAACTCCAGTCATCAGAGCGAGTTTGTGAGATGCTTTAATCACATAAAAATTCTACACATTGGAGCTTGGAGCATCAGTGAGAGAGAATAGCTTTGCATGCATTTCAACTCTTAATTGCTTTCCGCAGCGTCCGCCCCTCCGCGCCGCAGACGTTGACATATAGAAAGTCGCATTAGACTTGAAGCTGCTTTTTAGATAACGACAATTACAGCCTTTGCCTTCCATGACTTGTGCGAGTAAGTGGGCTTTGTTTGCAGAAACTCAAAGCGCAAGGCAAACAAACCCATTTGATGTGGTTAATTATACATCACACACACTCCGAGGCAGCCTGCAAGCCTGTAATTGTTAAGTCTGCCTGTACCCACCAGACAGTTGTGCACTTCCATAGATATAAAAGTTGTATGACTCGGAGAATCGCCACAAGTCATACAATAGTTGTTAGAAGAGTTCTTAAGCCGTGCCCAGGGGAAGAAGCGTGCCTGTGACCCATCTTTGAAACTTATGAAATATCTACACTCCTCTCCTTTCTGGTAGTCTCTCATCATCCTGTACGTCCCAGGACTTTATGGCTCATCTCAGTACCTTCTCAGGCAATAATTCCCACAGCAGCTTCATGAAAGATTCATTAAGCTTTCAAAGAGTCGAGCCTTTTTTTTTTCCCTTTTTTTGAGCTGCTGCCGAGCTGCTGCTGAAGGACGGTGTTAAAGGTGTTTTGACAGTTGCTCCAGGAGGAGAACGCCTGCCACGCTGCTTCAATAACGCCTGTGGAAGCAATAACGTTCCCCCGCCTCGATGGGACAGACGGATCTCATCACCTGGTGGCCTCAGCTGATATTTATTCCCTTTCTCCCGTGTCTCGGGGTGGATTAGAGAGGCAGGGTGGTGATGGGGGGGGTCGCCTCTTAGCAGGCCTGAGTGGTTTGGAGAAGCTACCTGTGGAGACTGAAGGAGCGGCGTCCTCCCTGCTGAGTAAGACGCCTCTGAATCAACATGCAGGAGAGAAGTTTTGGGGCATCCTGGTGATGTGGATGGGAGGTGCTGAGCAGAGGTTGTGAGAGGTAAATGCAGCGTGGCGCCTGGTTTTGGTTGTGTGTTTTGTGCTTGAGTGTCACTGCTCTTATCAGCCTTGTTTCCAGCAAAAGCAGGCAACTGTTTTCAGTGAAATTGCTCTGATACGCCCACGGTACTCTGGCTGTCCAGCACCAGACAAATGTAAGAGCTAGCTGGTGAACATAGTGGAACATTTAGCAGCTGAATAGACTGATATTTTTACTCAGGAGTTGGTGGAGACCAAACCAGAGCTAAAATAGAACAAATATTTGACTTACATTCACCAGCTGGACATAAACATGGATCCAAATTTATGCTAATGTTGCTCTGTCTGCTGAAGGTGTAAATAAGAAACGTATAACAACTTTTAAGGCTGAGGATACGGTGCTAACAGTGTGTCTCTGTATCTTTGTTTTGATGTTTTTCTGACTCCATAGTTGCCAAAAAATGATTATTGCAGCTTTACGTATTAGTATACCACATATAATATGATAGAATCTTTTTCTTATACGTGAGTTATATATTTGGGAAGATTTTTTACCTTTTACTCCTGTTTTTCACTGACAGGTGTGGTTTCTGGTGACTTTGAATATTCAAATTTAAATTCAGTATGCGTAAAGTTAAAATTTCTCCACAACCACAGTTCCTAAAAAAGGCCTTAGTTGGTATTAAAATGTCTTAAATCAATCTGTCAACTCTTATAAAATCTAAAACATGGAAAGCAGGACTTTGTGAACTCTTTTTTTTCTGACATTGCATCATAAAATCTCAAAATAATTGGTAACAGCTATTTTAAAATATGAAAATAAATAAATAAATAATGAAAAATTTGGGTGGCACGGCACTGCAGTGGTTAGCGTTGTTGCATCACAGCAAGAGGATTCCTGCTTCAAACCCGGGATGGCAGGTTCAAACCCAGAGGTGTAGGAGCCCTTCTGTGCAGAGTGTGCATGTTCTCCCTGTGTCAGCGTGGGTTTCCTCCAGGTGCTCCAGCTTCCTCCCACAGTCCAAAGACATGCAGGTTAACTGGTGACTCTAAATTGTCCGTAGGTGTGAATGGTTGTCTCTATGTGTCAGCCCTGTGATAGTCTGGTGACCTGTCCAGGGTAGTCTGGGGCCGTTAGTGGCTGTTTTGGTAAGGAACCGGAACCAGGGCGAGTGAGACAGGATCCGGAATTCGATGGATGCACCTTTCCGTCAAAATAAAAGCACCAAGCTAATAAAAATGCAGTGAAACTTTAATTTAAAGAATATAATTTACAAGAAAAGCCCCAAGCCATTAAGTTAATCGATTTTCTTACACCCCTCATCACTCATCATCAAAGTTTTACTTTGGTGAATTTGGTGAATTCCGCATCCGCTCTCTAGACCGGAACCAGAATCCAGACAAAATTCAGAGTGAATAGAAACCAGGCTCTTCACTTCACCTGAAGAGCCTGGTGATGTGAGGCTAGTCCAGGGTGAACCCTGCCTCTCACCCAGTGTCAGCTGGGATAGGCTCCAGCCTCTCCTTGACCTCTAAACAGTTATGGAAATATATTCAAAAATATATATGTATATGGAATACCTCTTGCATTACCGTCAAGCAACACTCATATTTTGTTTCTGGCCGGGATGTTCAGAGAGGAGGATCCACTGTCTGCTAGCTAGCTGTGCATACAAGGCTCTGTGTATTTATGCAAAAACATTTTTCAAACTCGGTTCTAAAGGAATCAAGACAATGAAATTCCACATGCAGAGTTTAGTGTTAAATTTTCTCAACATTTGAAGTCGATCATCTAACTTTTCACTGGACCAAAATAGTGATGTTTTACGTTACATTTGGGCAAAATTTTCCCAAATCCTAAGTACATGATGTAAATTCTGTCTTTTTTTATTATTATTTTTTTTAATTATTCAGGTTTGGTTATTGTAAAATTGGTCTTAGATTTGATTCTGAATTACATTTGAAAAATCTAATTTCCCTTTAAGCAATAGCAACCCTTTACATATTTACTTCCTTCTGTCTGTTCTTTTGTTTTGTTTTTCCTTCCATCTCTACACACCATATTGTTTGTCCATCTGTTCATCCTCCTCTTCTTTGTGGTTCATAGTTTCTTCTTTGTTCCTTCTGCTGGTCCTTATCTTCTCATTTCTGTCCTTTTTGACCCTTAAAGCTGAGTAAATGTTTCAGATAAAGCCTTAACATGACAACATACCTTCAGAAAAAAAGTGCTTGTAATTGTGCATTTTCCATTTTGGTTCTTTTACTTAAAGTTGCATTAATGAATTTTTGGCCACTAGGGGGCAGCAGATGACTCACAGCTACCACATTGTATCTGTTGATACAGCTAACGTTCCACATCCAGCAGATATGAAGTGATGATTATCGTCCCTGTGGAGTCGTGTCTGTGCCGCCTGATGAATGTAAGTCCAATATTTTCTCTTCTTTTAGCTCTGTTTTAGGTCTCCACCAGCTCCTGAGAAAAACGTCTGTCTCATAAGCTGCTAAATGCTTCACCTTGTTCACCAGCTAGTTGCTAACTTTGTCTGCTGTGTGGTGCCGGGCAGGGTGTGTACAGTGTACAGCATTTTTACTGAAAACAGCTGCCTGCTGTTGATGCTGCTGGGAACGAGGTTGGGAAGAGACTGGAACAAACTGAAAATGAGCTGTAAAAAAGAAAATATCTAAAGCTCTGCAGAGCTCCAGAGTTGGTGGTGATGATTCAGCTCCTTTTACATAAGAGTCATTTAAACCTTCTGATTTCTGGATTACAGACTATAAATGACCACTTTTTTTGCCTTTAACCTTTGACCTCGAGTTCATCCAAAGTTCTCTTCATGGTACTTTAGCACCATATGGAAGGAACAGACTTGTACAGAAATTAAAGCCGCCTGCAGGCACTTCTGTGCTTCTGTTATTTGTAATTTGCATAAATTATCCCTCTTCCTTAAAATCCTGTTTAGACCGGGGCATGATGTCCTCGCCACAAGAAGTATTTTTACATCACATTTTGTTGCTCGGCATCTGTCTCTCGCTCTGAGTGCCTCTGCACCGAGTGTTTATCAGTGATTCAACTATCTGATCTTAGAGATGAATCAATAAGATATGTAAATAAGCTTTATGCAAATTGGATGCAAGTGGGTGTTGTGAGCATGAGAAAGAGGTGAGAGTCGTGGGTTTTTTGGTAGTCTGCGGCGCGACCACACTGCCAGGCTTATTAATCTCTTGCGCTTCAGTGGCGCAGTGTGGTACCTCATCTTCACACTGCCTGCTGTTTCCCCCACCTTCCTCTGAAATTACAGTCAGTAATCTGTTTGGCACTTAGACGAGTCACAGAGGAGAGAAAGAAACTAGGAGAAAAAAACAACGGGAAACAGATTCGGAGAGAAATAAACATTTTAATTAGGTGTTTGGCACTGATAAATTTAGATTTCACACCCACAACAAGATAACATTTTCCAAAAGCTCTAAATTAAATAAGAGATTTGTATTTAGATATAAGATTTGTTTTTTAGATATACATTAAGTTAAATAATCTGAAATATGGCGTGTGAATAAAAATGACTTTACACACATTTCCATGCACACGCCTGCCCGAATTCACAACAGTCACACTTTGAAATATGTAGGACACAATCGACTTAGAAAGTGAACACGCGAGTGCCACATGAAATAAGATTGTACAAGCACAGAGACACGTGGACATCATGCTCTTGACAGACAAGAATAAATACGCTTGTTAAAAAATTCAGGAAGTTTTGGGAGGGAGATGTCTGGTTGGATATCTGTCACATTGCCGTGAAGCACAACACAAAAGGCTCACGCCCCCCCCCACCCCTGCATTGCAAGGCCTCCGTCAATGCACAACTTTGTTATGCTTCAAAGTCACGTAACTGTGGCGTTGTCCTGTGGAGAGGTAGATATCGCTCGTGTTTGAACTGTCACACACACACGTGTGTCCTGTTACAGAGCGGCTCAAAGTCACAGGGGTGAATTAAAAAGTAAGAGCAGTTACACGCTCCGATGACGGTGACAGTCGGTGGCGTTGTGCTAATTCCTCGTCACAGCTGTTATTTCAAAGGAAACATCTGATTTGTAAAGGAAATGTCCCTGTAGGATTTCATCTCGCTTCAAAAGTTCAGTTCAGTTCATCTGGCTTTGGTGCATAGACGACTGTCTCAGATTGTAGGTTTTGTTTGTGAGCTATTGTCTCGCCCGAAGCTGTCGTCATGACTCCAGACAACATCTCATCATCGAGCGGCTGCACCGTTTTTCAGGTTTTCAGGGCAGCTGTATGTCTTTGTGACATTGCTTTGTTCCTGGTTATAGGGTTAGTACAGATGCTGTCATCCTCCTGCCTCCTCGGCATCCACTCTCTCCTCTTCCCTTCTGTCCTCTCCACTGAAGCCAAATGTCTGGTGGCTAAAAGTCTGTTTCCTGATGTTTTCTGTCCTTATTTCCTGATGTTCATCCAGGCAGCTGCCATGTGTTTCCCCTGCCTCTCTCTCTGGCTACAGGAAACAATCTGATGGAGGACAATGACTCGGTTTCCTTGATAACACGTTTTAGGTTAAAAAAACATTGAGCAAATTAAACAATCAGTTCCTGATAAAGAAAAAAATTCTCATCACCGTCCACTTGCTCCGTCTCGCCCTTTTCCCTCAGTTAGAAGTCAAATCAGGCCTCAGCTTTCCATTCTCCCATCAAAACGTCCTTTGTCAAAGCTCGCCATGGTTTGCATTTTTTGTGAACTTGAGTGTGAAGCGTAACAGACGCAGCAGGGTGTGCAGGGGTGCTGCTGGCAATCTGCAAGGTCACCGGAAAAAAGAGGCGAGCACATACAGCAACTCGAAAAGGAGCCAAAGAGACACAAATGGCTCAGGGAAGCCCTCTGAGGTCACCTTCCCTGCTTGCTGTGCTCTGGGCCACGAGTTTCACTTTTTAAAACTTTGAGAAAGTCCTGTGAAAATGATGCTGTAGTCTCCTCTTTTCCAGCCTTCTGCCATGACGTCGGATAGGGGTGCACTTTAACCAGACTACAAGTTGGGGGTGAGTAATCCACAGCAGTGCAACATATGTAAATCATCCTCAGCTTCCATTCCTGCATTGACTCATACTTTGGTCTCCTTGTGTATTTCTTTAAAGGAGTCCCTGATCGCCAGGAGACTGGAGGCCAGAAGATGTCCGCTCACTTTGCTGTGCCACTCCTGAGACCGGCCCCTGGAAGAAAACACACACAAAAAATCTCTCAGCAAAGAAAGGTCAGGAAAAAAAACACATTTAAATGAACTTAAATTCCACAGCAAACTTTCAGCTTTAGGTTTGACCCCTGTAAATTACACGATGAGCCGAGAGGCATGCTGTGCTCCATTTTATTTATATAGACGCTCATTAAAGACTAGGCTTGTGGAGCTGATGCTGAATAGTTTGAAAACTTATGGAAAAAAACACCCACATACTCTCTGTACACAGTTTTGTTTGGAAAATGTGTAACACTGTGTATCTTGTACACATGCTGTTAAGATTAAAGATAATAGCATGGTTAAAGGCTTTTTGAGATAAACATACATGTATTTTCATATCCAGTCATGAATAAACATTTCTGATATACATTTTTAAAACACTGCGGAGAAAGGAGTGCAAGTTGAGTTGAGTGCCACATAGGTGTCACATTTTTCTCCACTGCAGCAGTCATCAAAAAAGTCATTCATACAGGGTGTTTCTGCCACTAGTTTAGATGATATCTCTTAACACTACTTATATTGTAATGAGGTGCTTCATCTGGCCAGTTTTAAGTCGAATTATAAGAGAAGGTGTCCCTGATGATAAGAATAATACGGACTGTATTCCAGGACAAGTAGTATGCATGCTGGATACAGAAATGGTTCATTGGAGCACAGAGTTGACTTTTATAAAATCATTTTTGTCATACTTGCGTAAACTGTCACTATATCCTGACAGTAGTACATGAGACAGATAATCTGTGACAAAAAATTGAAGTTCCTCTGCGTCCTCATAGTGCTTCTAATGGCATCTCCAACGCTGCTGTCAATCACGTCAACCACAGCTCGTGAACTGAGGTCAAATTGTTAAACTAGGCAGCGCTGATCAAATATGAATCAAGATTCTGTTACTGTATTGCCTATTTCTTGCGTAAGATGTTTTCAGAAACATATTTTAGTGCACTGTTTAGCTGTGAAATGAAAACATTTGCTCCAGCTGGTGGGCGATGCTTCATTTTGGCTCAGCTGCTTTCCACATGGCGGCTGGGTCACAAGCGTTCTCATTTCACAGCTAAACTGTACACTAAAATATCTTTCTGAAAACATTTGAGGCGAGAAATAGGCAATGCAGTTACACAATCTTGATTCATATTTGGTCATTGCTGCCCAGTGTGACTGCAGTTCACGAGCAGTGATTGACAAATGTGAGACTCCTCGGCTCTGATTGGTTGTTTCCGTGATTCTTGCAAATTCCATTAGAAGCACCAGGAGAAGAGAAGAACGTGATTTATTTCATGTATTTGTCTCATGGACTACTGTCAGGATACAGTGACAGTTTCATCAAATATGACGAAAACTTATCTTTGCAGAAGTTACCGTACCGTATCGTAAGACGTACTTGTGCTATCTTAATATCTGCACAGGTGTAACTAGCTTCACCTGTGCTATCATTAAAGGAATAGTTCACCTAAATTGTATCTCGCACTTGCCTCCCTAGGCTCTTAGTATGTATACGCTTAGCTACCAGCGGAGCTAACTGGTAGATTAAGCACCTCTTTAAAAATCCCCGCAATGTGAAAAATACATGGCGAGCAGTCTTTTGTGTGACACTGGTGCACGGAGCGGAGTCCACGCGGTCGTAAAATCTGAGCTTTGCGCATAGGGCTTGCGGATGTCCGCTTTTAGTCCGTGCAGACCTCCTCAGAGTCCGCTCCGCGTATGTTCTGCCCGAGTATGTTTGGGCCTTTAGACTCTTGCCATATCCATATGCCAAAATTTTGGATAATGGATAAAACTGATTGCTTCAACACATTTCAATAATAATGTTGCACAGGAGGAATTTTCCAAATGTTTTTCAGATGTTTTAAAACCTTTTCGTGGTCTTTTGTTTGGACTCCTTCAAAGTTTGTTTGCACTAATATACTTTTATTTTTCAGGTGTCCAGCTCTCCTTATCACAATTTGATAGAAAACAGTTTTGGGGACCACAGAGAGCCTAGAGAGGTGAGTGCTATGTATAATTTATATTGTTTTTTGGTGAACCATTCCTTTAATGTTAGTATTTACCTACTGTAATCACAAGTCAGCTTATCTGCAGTAACAGAAGTTTACTACTGGCTGACTTCCACCGCTGCTTTACTAGTTCTGTCTCAGTCCTGTTTGAGGTAACACATCGCTTGTAATATTCACTTGTAAAACGAACTCCAAGTTATATTTGTTTGCACTTTTTACGCTCCGCTGCATTTTAGTTTCCACCGCAGTTTCAAAGAGAACATCCTTGATGTTTCTCTCTCGCTGAGGCCGTAACGTATTTCATTTCCTCTGGAGGCGATAGGATCTGTTTCACAGGCCTGTACTGTTAAAAGCCCCGTTGACCTTGATGCTGTGGATCTGTTGTCTTGCCTTGAAAGTTAACAAGCACTTCAAATTAATGTCACAGCAAGTAAGCCCAGGACAGCCTGGCGCACCGCAGATGTTTAGCTTGAGTTCTGTCATGAGAGGAAATTAAAGGCGAGAGGAAGTGACAGAGAAATGAAAGAGTGAAGGCATTCATCCCTCTGGGTGTTTTCACTTCTTTCTTAGATGATCACTCTCCCATAACAGGAGCATTGGCAGGCCGACGGGTCTTAGACGCCTGCTGGTTGCTTGTAAATGATCTTGAAATTGAAGCGTATTTCACCTCTGTGCGTACTCTTTGTTGCTTTGGATAACAGTTTCAGCTAAATGCCTCAAATGTGAATGTGTGTACACTTGATAGCGGTAGCAGTTCAGCTCTCGGCTGTTCTCCATCACTTCACACAGTCTGTTCTTTATTCAGCACACACTCATCAGAAAATTAGAAAGAGACACAAGGCTGTGAATGTGTGCTGACGTGATCCTTTCAGTTCACTTGTAATGGGCCGACTAAAAGCCTGCTGAGATAATCACACAGCCATAGATCAAATCTGTCTCTGCCTTTTCCTCCCTCGTGTTGATGTTACGAGTCACCGTTCTTACTCTCAGCTCAGCCTGGTGCTCGTGGAGGCTCACTCCACCGAAATAAAAATATTTGATAAAAAGTTAGTAAATCAAAATTATGGCTGATTGTGAGGATTTATGGTCTGTAAATAAAAATTATGGCTGCAATTTTGACTTGCTAAGTGAGAAATGGTTGAAATTATGAGATACTGATTTGCAGTTACGAGTTAATCAAAGTTGTGACTTTGTAGGGCAGAATTATGAGACAGTAAGGCAAAAGTATGAGCTCATACCTCATCAGTTTGACATTAAGACTTGGTATCTAAAATTGATTTTGTAAGACACCAGAGACAAAAATCATAGACTATATTTTTATTATTTTAAATCATCAAGTTTATAAGTCTATTTATATTTCAGTCCAGACTGAAATATCTCAACAACGACAGTGAAGTTTTGTTCAGACATTCATGTCTGGATGAACTGTAATAACTTTGGTGATCCCTTACTTTGTTCAACGTCATCATCATCAGGTCAAAAATTGTATTTGACAATACTTTAATTATGATTAAATATCTGTAATAACCTTCCCATCAGCATCAGCTGTACTTTGCGTTTTGTGATAATTAGCAAATGCAAAAGTAAGGATGCACGATAATATTGGTACGTCATCAGTATCGAGTTTTGTATTTCATGTCTCCATCTGCTGATGGGCCATCACAATAAGAGCATGCGTGTATAATATAAGAGACTTCATAATCACTAAACTCAGGTACAAAAAAAAGTGGATAAATTGATATTGGTATTGGTTATCGGCCAAGTGAGTTGTTATAGGCATATTGGATGATGACGAAAAATCCAATATCATGCATCCTTATGCAAAAGCATTGCATGCTAACACGCTAAGCTAAGACAGTGAACAGAGGTACCATATACCTGCGACAACAGCGTGTTAGCTTTACGACTGTGAGCACATTAGCTTGCTGGCGTTTGCATCTGCAACAAAACACTATAGGGTAGCCTTGCGGAGCAGCTAACGTGGCATTTGATATACACCATAATGTCTTAAGGAACAGTTCACCAAAAAAATCAAAATTGCATATTTTTCCTTTAACTTGTGGTGCTGTTTATCAGTCTAGATTGCGTTGGTGTGAGTTGCCGAGTGTTGGAGATATCAGCAGTAAAAATGTCTGCCTTCTCTTGAATATAACAGAACAATGGCACTCAGCTTGTGGTGCTCAAAGTGCCAAGAAAATCCATTTAAAAAAAAAAGTTTACTAGAAATGTCTCTTTCCAGAAATCCTGACCTGGTTATTCAAGACCTTGTTGTGTGCAGTTTGATGTCAGAACTATTTTCTCTCTACCAAACTACACCTGCCAATTGTATCACCATGCAGAAGGAAGTGTGCATCTACTGCTAGCTCACCTAGCACCAAGCTAGCTAACGTTACAGCTCAGCCGAGGAGGACGCCATTAATGTTTACATCGTGTGCTGTCACAAGCATGAGCATTTTTGTCCATTAGTAGATGTACGCTTCCTTCTGCACGGTGATACGGTTGGTGGGTGTAGTTTGGTAGAAAGAAAATAGTTCCTACATCAAACTGCTCACCGCAAGGTCTGTGGATTATCTTGAGTAACTGGGTCATGGTTTCTAGAAGGTTTTCCGAGTGCCATCTAGTTCCATTATATTGGAGAGAGAAGTAGACACCTCCACGGCCGATATCTCCAACACTCAGCAACTCACACCAAACAATCTAGCTCGATAAATAGCACTACAGATGAAAATAAGAATATGTTGTTTTTTTTTATTTTGGGGCGTACTGTCCCTTTAATGACAGTATGTAGGATTATGGTATTTAGCTCACAACAAATTTAGAACAAAGTGAGTTAAAGGCGCCATCAGTGTGTGTTTTTGTGTTTGGTACGAGCCTCCACAGTCGTCTGTTATCAGCTCTTCCTCTCTCTTCCCAGCCCTCTGCCTCCCTATGTTCTCAGTCATATTGAATCTGTGCAGAGGAAATACTGTGTGTGCTCATAACTGAATTGACCAAATCTGCAGCTGCTTTTCCCTACAGCCTGGGCTGCTGAAAAAAAAAACTATGGTGCAGTTTAATGACAGAGATGCTACGAGCCCAGCCCTCTGTGAGAGAGCTGCTGCCACCTGTTTTGTGTCGCACGGAGCTTCATTTCATTTAATCAACTGAGACAAATGGAGCCGCAGGGCTCCACCGAGAGTCAAATTGATCATGTAAGCAGCAGAAAATCTGCAACAACTTAGTTTCAAAGGGCATGAATCATGAGAAGGAGGGCTGTTTCTCCTCCTCGTGTGCTCACCTACAGGGAGGTTGTGATTGTGCTGCAGATAGATGCTGGCAGAGGTCAAAAACACAGAAGAGGCTCAATTAAGACGGATGAGATGGACTAAGTGCTCTCTCCAGATATTTCTTTTAATAGGCTTCTCACGGCCTTAAATCCTCTCAGCCTCTCCGTAGCTCCTGCAGCTTACTTTGCCCTTGGTTTTACTTCTGTCTTGACTTTATTACTTAAAGGACCATTCTGCAATTTTTATGTGCATACAGCAAATACAATTATGAACACAATGAAGTCCATAATAAGTCACAAAGTAATTGATTTTTTAAAATTGCTCTTTTAATACAGAGAGAGTCGAGTTATGCAGTAAGTGTAGAAAGCTTCTTTTTACCAGACAGTGAGTTTTTAAGGAGATGTAGTCTACCTTGACATGTTTCGACTGTCACTTCAGTCAGAAGCGTCATCTGACGTGCGTCATGACGTGTCTTTATCAGCTGGTAGTATCCTGGAGGCGTGACCAGCCTGGCAAATCGGATTGCCAGGCTGGTCACGCCTCCCGCTGCCCCGTGTTCTTTGGAGGAGAGAGTCCCAGGTGTGCGACAGCATGAAAGCCCCCTCATCCCGGTTGATGGTGTCCCTGGCCCGCGTCCTGATCTCTATGGCCTCCTTGATCCAACGTTTGAACTGGTTGCTTTCCGATCCGATGGGTGTGACCAGCCTGGCAATCCGATTTGCCAGGCTGGTCACACCTCCAGGATACTACCAGCTGATAAAGACACGTCATGACGCACGTCAGATGACGCTTCTGAAGAAGACTGAAGTGACAGTCGAAACATGTCAAGGTAAACTACATCTCCTTAAAAACTCATTGTCTGGTAAAAAGAAGCTTTCTACACTTAATCTATTTTGAGTAGACAAAATGAACATAATTACACTGTCTAGTTATGCAAATGTTTTTGGTCTCCAGTTTCTGCCTCCACCCCGATACAGTGGAGCTGTGGGCAGTTTTCAGTGGGACCATTTCTTTATTTGAAAGTATTTCTAGTCACATCTGTTCAGTGAGGTCTCTGTGGAACACCTACAGCAGGGGTTCTCAAAGTTTTCATGACTGGTGCCAATTTTAGGGAGCCAGCATATGATTGAAGGCCACGCAGGAAAAGTGCACACGTAAAATAAAATATCTTTTCCATATACTTCCAAATTGAGCTGCTGAGGCGTCCACTGAAATCGCTAACATTAGCTAGCGGCACAAATTATAGAACGTAATTCAAGGTGCCAGTATTTGCCATGCAACCAGTAGCACTGTTCTTCCTAACCTGACAGAAACTTGTTAGGGGGGCGCAGATTTAAAAAGAGCTGAGCAGTGTGCTAAATGTAAGCTATTGAAATGGATTTTTATGTCTTTTATGACATTACGTATACCATGACATTTTTTATTTATACTATTTTTTGTGACATGGGATACTTTGTTGTGGCACAATATACTATTTCATTTTTTGGGGCATATTTTACAATTTTTATACAAATGTATTACCTTTATGGCAAAGTATACTATAGTTTATATATAACATACTATGACATGGCTTTTTATTACATTTTTTATGACTTAAATGGCAAAGTATACCAAAATATTTTTATGACTTTATGACATACTTAGTAGACTATAATGTTTTTTTGTCATACTATACTATACTATGGCATTTTTATGCCATTATATGATGTGATTTTTTTTTTTTTACATTTATATGGTATATGTCAGGCATGTCCAAAGTCTGGCCCGGGGGCCAATTGTGGCCCACAGACCAATTTTAATCGGCCCTTGGCTTGACTTTCAAAATATACCATATGTGGCCCTTTACACAATAATGGTTAATCGAGCAAGATCACTTCGCATTTTTTCCTTTCACCTCACAATGATAGGACTATCATACAGTTTGTAGACAGGCATCAAGTAGTAATAAATAATTAAAAGATAAAAATGGTGGCATTTGGTATTTTCCCATTATATTGTGATATTTTTTTACTTTTGACACATACTGTAGTATTTTTAGTGACTTTTTTATGACATACTATACTAGATACTAGGTACAGATCTGTTTTTGTAAAATGTCCTCCTGTTTTCTTTCTCTCAGTATTTACTGTCATTCCTCCATTGTTGTCTGTCTATGAAAGCAAAAACACACAAAAAAATGTATCTTCTAACTCTGTCCTGCAGTTATCCTTCAAACATACTGCAATACTTACTGCAGTCTTATCCTGCCTTTACTCTTCCTCTTTGACTTTCCTCCCTGATAATTAAACAACATGGGTTGCTATATTCTGGCAGGTATTCAATATGAGTAGATGAGTCTTTTACCCTCTCCTCTTTCCTCCAGTAACTCATATTTACCCATCACAAACTTATTTGGAAAATTTGCAAAAAGTCACTTTTTCTCCTACTTTTTCTCTCAGTGTTTGGATCATTACCTGGTATCTGTTCGACAGAGGTGTGTCAGTCGGGTCTTCCTGGCTCCTGTGGGCTCCAGCAGGAAGAGACAGGAGTGGACGTGGGCCCTAATCCCCTCCGACAGCACTTTAGGATGCTCAGTGGATACAGAGGACAGGTACAGAGGGCCGGAGGATGGGTCTGCTTGCCAGGTCCTGAGAGGTTGGAGATAAGAAGAGATTATCAGGACGTAGAATCCAAACGTGACACACAAATGTGATTGCTGCCAACAATCTGATTCCAACCAGACAGTATTTTACTGTATGCAATCCTAACCCTGACTACAGACAGGAAGTCAGGATATTAAAAGGTGGACTAACACATCGTTGGTTGTGGTGTTTGTGATTTGCTTGTTTCGATGCGTTATGAAGACATGCTGATTTAAATGTCTTACTCGGGTAACACAAAGTTCATGTATGCTGTCATAAAGAGAGGAAATATGACAAAAGTACACAGTGTGATGTGATCCAGCTGCAGACACAGATACTGTCATGTCTCATCTGACTTCAGGGTTGGATTAAGTTTTCATCAACCCAATTCAAACCTCATATAGACACCAAAAACCACACAGCTGTCTCCAACTTTAAATCAATCTGACACTTTTAGAGTATTTCTGACTTAGACTCCTCCATCCTCCCTGCTCTGTAGGGCTCAGCAGGTTAAAACTCAGAGGCCTTTGAAGCCTGCAGTTCGCCTTGCCTCATTACCTGAGCAGCAGATGCTCCTGTGGGGGCCAGCAGCCCAGGCCCTGGAGGAGATAGTGGTAGACTTCAGTGTCCTTGGACAAGGTCTGGATGACAGCGGCCTTGTGCAGATTTCTTTCCCACAGCTCCTGCTCCCTCAGCAGCCGTTGGAGCAGCTCCGTCTGGGGGGCGTCGACTTCCACAGAGCCGCGCCACATCCACAGTGGGCAACCATCGTCCATCTACAGACAAGTGGAGAAAGACAATTAGAACTCAGTGAGGCCACCAAGACACGACTGCATACAGAGCATTAAAATTCACTGATTACATGTTTGAGTTTTTATTTCCTTCATTCTGTGCGACACAAATGTCATGAACAATGTCAAATAATGTCATTGTATAATGTGTCAATAAAATGTCATTTCAAAATACGCAAGACTTTTTCTTAAAAAAAAACAACATAAAAACAGTCATGAGTTCAAAGAAATCCAAAATGTCATTAAAAAGTCATAGTAAAGTATGACATCCGAAATGTCAAAAAACGTCTTAGTATAGTATGTCGTCCAAAACGTTATAAAAAAGTCATAGTATAGTATGTCGTCCAAAACTATGAAAAAAAGTCATAGTATAGTATGTCGTCCAAAACCATGAAAAAAAAGACATAGTATAGTATGTCGTCCAAAACTATGAAAAAAAGTCATAGTATAGTATGTCGTCCAAAACCATGAAAAAAAAGTCATAGTATAGTATGTCATCCAAAACTATGAAAAAATGTCATAGTATAGTATGTAGTCCAAAACCATGAAAAAATGTCATAGTATAGTATGTCGTCCAAAACCATGAAAAAAGTCATAGTTTAGTATGTCGTCTAAAACCATGAAAAAAAGTCACAGTATAGTATGTCGTCCAAAACCATGAAAAAAGTCATAGTATAGTATGTCGTCCAAAACCATGAAAAAAAAATCATAGTATAGTATGTCGTCCAAAACCATGAAAAAAGTCATAGTATAGTATATCGTCCAAAAC